GAAATGTACAGAAATACGTGCTTTCATATGTCCTTTAGTTATGATTATTTCATTTATTCACTATATTATTAAATGTCTAATTTCAGTTTAAGTTTGGCTCTAGTTTTGTATTTATTCCAGTTTATATGAAAAGGTTAATGTAGCGTGGATTAAAATTAATATACAGAGTAAATCCTTTTCACTGAACGTGTTAAAAATAAGTTTGAAACAGTTGTCGTGGTGACGCTGAAGGCGAGCGACCGTGGTGCTGTTGTAGTTCGTTTTATATAAGTTTAGCTTTCAATTCTGGCGCTTTTATTTTGGGCTTCAAAATTCATAAAAGTTATATTATTTTGTGAAGATTATCTTGATGGACAAAACGTGTACGTTTCATGAACTATGATTGAACACAGAGCTTTTTTGTTTTTGCGATAATCCAAAAGCCTATGGAGAAATCCCATTGGTTTTTATGTCGGGGGAACCAGTGCGACGCTAACAGCCGATCCGCCTACAAAGTGACGTCATAGACCCCCCACTCTATTAGTATTCATTTTAAAACATCCACAAAACACAGCGGCTATGAGCGCTGTAACAAACGAAAAAAAGAAAAGAAAAGCGCGAGCGCCTCGAGTGTGACGTCACAGCGCCGCGGCTATATAAAGCCCTGCTCAGGATTCTAACGGCAGACGCGGATCTGGTTGAGTGAGTGTTTGAAATCGGCGACTGATTCCACTCACTTTAGATTCAAGGTTTAAACAGTCTTTTCAGACTATTCACAGTTTACACACATTGTGTCCACAATTATCAGTATAATCTGATTTCTGTCATAATCAAGCGATGTCTACAACAGCTGAGCGCAGTGAGTCTGTCGCTCGAGCCGCCTGGGCTTCGAAAGCATCGATCTGAGCGATGAAATGATGGACAACAGCCCAGCAGGTGAGATGATGGGAATCAACAGCAGTAATCTCTCTAGTGCTACTTTGCTTCTCTCGGTCTGAGCTCAGTGTTTGACTTCTTTGACAAGAATATCCAGCGTTCCAGCAAAATATGAATTTAACCAGGGCCGGGGTTACCTGGCTATGCTCGCTCGTCCAGGGGGCCCAAACACAACGAAGAGAGATATCACATTTTTGTTATACTATGGGCTATCTATCTTAACAAGGTCTTTAAAAGTCTTAAATTTGTTTTTAAAAATCTTGCAGATACCCTGTTATTTGTTTGTCCCAATGTGTAAGTACTAAATGTGATAGAGCCTGCTAGAAAGAACTGCTTTTATTTTAGTTTATGTATTTTATTTTTTAGTAAGTCACTTTGGATAAAAGCATGCGCTAAATGAATAAATGTAAATGTAAATCTACAACAGTAAAAGAACCACAACCCCAGAAGACATTGAGCAAATTAATATAACAAACAATAGGGTAAAAAATTACAAGTTATTTCTGTTTTCCACCTTTTTAATGTAAGGAAATCACGCTTTCTTTCTCCCATTCTCTCTCAGAGACGTGAACAGAAACTTGTTGTCAGCGCTGCCCCGCGAATTTATCAACCAAATAGTTTCGCAGCTGAAAAGCTACATGACATTTCTTAGTAGCAGGGTTCTTGAAGCAGCTCAACTTAAAGATTCACTATTAGTAGACTCTGCTGCTGAACACTGTTGAGAGACGCACATCCGATAAAAATGTGTTTTGCCTATGTCACTATAAAAGGTCAATCCGGCCCTGAATTTAACTGCAGATCGTTTCTGTGAACTAATTACAAGTTATTCTAATTATTAGAGCTGCACTTTACTTTCTTCTTGAATCAGTTTACTGTCAGGAAATTGAATCTGTTTCTGATCTGTCGTCAGAGATGTTTGTTTCTAATAGTTTGCTCTTCGCTCTTCTTTATTCCAGACGAAGCTTCCAAAGGGAAGAAGGGGAAAGCAGTGCGTGTCTTCTTCCGGAAGCTGTGCAAGGCTGTAAAGCGGCCGTTCGTCTGCTGCGGGCCGGAAAGAGTGGTGCGTCTCACACTGGACGATCCCGAGGTGACGCCTGTCTCCGGTCCGACGGCTGCCGCAGATCCTGCCGTTCTGGAGCTGCTGTGTCTGCCGGGGCAGGTGTGTGACGATCCGGAGCCGACGTCGTGTGTGCCACGTTCCTCCGGGATCATCGAGCAAATGCCGGATCCTATTCCAGATTCATCCGCTCTGAATCTGTGTCACAGTGAGTCATTATTACTTTGGTTCCTTTATTTCTGTCCTGTTCTATTCTAATAATAATTATTTGGCAGCGGCTATTTGCACTAAGTAAAAATAGCATATTTTCTTAGCTATAGATGCTATTTACACTGTTAAAATAGCATTTTCTGCTAATTATGCTACTTATTGCAGATAGTGTCAATTATCTGCATCTCAGTATTGTAGTACATTATAAAACAGTATGCAATAATAGCGTATTAAATGCAAATTATAATTTTAATTCAAATTATTAAACAGATGTCACGTTATTGGGACAATAAAGCACTCCCTACACCTACCCTAACCCTACCTGATACTTTATTTTCAACTTTTTTATTATTTCCTTCATTTTTATTGAAAATAAATGCCTTTTTGATGTGATATGAGATTTGAAAAGGGAGAAACAATTTTGGCAAAAGGGTCGATTGTGTCAAAAAGCACGCGCCTTAACCATTTACGCCACTGGAACAGATGTTTGATGACCGTCTTTTGTAGTGTTGACTATCCCGATCACACTTTGGAGTTAGTGTAAATAGCCTCTGCCAACAGGGCGTGCTATTTGCACTTAGTGTAAATAGACAGTCCGTTGTAATTCTGATTTGATGACTTAAAGGGATAGTTCACCCAAAAATGAAAATGTGATGTTTATCTGCTTACCCCCAGGGCATCCAAGATGTAGGTGACTTTGTTTCTTCAGTAGAACACAAACGGAGATTTTTAACTCCAGCCGTTGCAGTCTATCAGTCGTATAATGCATGGCAATGGTAACAAAATCTATGAGAGTAAAAAAAACATGCACAGACAAATCCAAATTAAACCCTGCGGCTCGTGACGACACATTGATGTCCTAAGACACGAAACGATCGGTTTGTGCCAGAAACCGAACAGTATTTATATCATTTTTTACCTCTAATACACCACTGTGTCCAACTGTCTTTGGGCGCGCGCACGGCATCTCACGGCGTGAGGTGTGTACTCGCTCTGGCATAGTTTACGCAAGCGCCGGAAGTGATCTACTGCTTAATAATTTGACAGTGACATTTGTTGAACTGTTTCCATGTTTAATTGCTAGTTCACATGTAATCTGTGGTCAGAGATGTTTCTAATGGTTTGCTCTTCATTCGTTTTAGAAAAAGCTAAGAAAGGAAGGAAGAGGAGAGCGGTCCGTGCCTTCTTCCGGAGAGCATGTGAGGCTGTGAAGCAGCTCTTCCCCTGCTGCGACCCGGACCGAGTCCAGCCTCCTAAAGCAGAGCCGGATCTGGACCAATCCCAGCTCGTTCCTGAGCTGCTGTTTCTGACGGAGCAGGACCAGGTCTCCGTAGATCTCCAGTCGTCTCCTGAGGAAGAAGGTCCCTCTGAGATCCAGCAAGAGGCCCACGATGCAGTTCTGCCCGGTTCAGTGTCCGGTTCAGTGTGTGATTCAGGTCCCGGTTCAGTGCCGTCGATCGTGTCAGAAATGGCACCGGACACAGTGTCGCCTGATCCAGAAATCGAACGGCCTCAAGGTGAGTCATTACTGCTTTGCATCATGTTATTTCTGCTCTGTGTTATTTTCTCTTTATCGATACTGTAGACCTGGGCTTGGCATTAACGTTTTAGCTCACCAGCCACTGTGGCTAGTGGTTTCCCAAATTTACTAGCCACTCAGCATTTTCACTGGCCACAATTTTGTTGTTGGGAAATTACATCTCATATAACTAAAGTTACTGCATACTAAAATTTATTTAAATTGATTATTATTATTATTTAAAGGCCATTTTTCCCTAACCGTATTAAATGCATGCGTCATCTTTCATATCAAATTCTTACATTTTAATAATAATTTCACGTAATATAATAAGACACTATAGGGCTGTTACCAATTAAATGAAATCAGTATTAACAAAACCGATCTTTCCATTGCAGAAGAAACGGAAGCAGCTGTAGTGGCCTTTATGCAGCCTTTATGCATTTACACAGACAGTTTAATGTAGCTGAAATGTAGCATGAATGCATTTACACTGCAGAATTATAATATAACATTAATGTTGTGAGCTTGGTGTTTTAAATCAGTTTTTTCTTTAAATATACAATTATGAAATGTTGGAAAAAAATACAAAGATAAGCTACTTTATGAAAGTAAACCGCCAGTAGGTGGCAGCGAGTGACTGTCTTAACGAGTGAGTCACTGAGGCTTTCATTTAAACGATTCGGTCAGACGGCTGATTCATTCAAGATTGAAGCAAGTGTCTGTCTTTATGAGTGGACCACTGAATCATTGACTCAAATGATTAATTCAAAAGCGCCAAATCATTCAGAACCAGAACACCGCTGTGTTGCTCAGAGATGCGCTCAACAAATCCACTTGTCCCACACAAGCATTAATGTCGAACTCTGTTTCTATATATAAAATTCAACCCGCCAAAGTGGCTAGTGGGAGTGACCGTGTTACCCGTCACTGCTGAAATCCACCCGCATTTGCTGGGTTGGCTGGTGTTAATGTCAAGCCCTGCTGTAGACTGTGATACTCTGCCATCACTTGTAGCTGATCTGCAGTGCATCTGAAACTAAAGAAAGTCTTCAAGACTCTTGATTTGATGGTCCTTCAGCTCTGTTGTTTACAATCAAAGGAAGTCTCAAACGTGTCCATCTTCTGTTTCTGTGTGTTCTTCAGGATCCGTTGTGTCTTTGTTTGAAGTGGGGCATTTGATCGCATCAGGGAACTTCAGCAAGGTCTATGAGGGAACACACATATTCAGCGACAAAGTGAAGGTTGCTCTGAAGTGTGTCCCCAAGCGCAGAGTGGACCGCTATCTTGACATTGTAAGTTAGCAAAACCTGAAGAATATTTGGTGTTTTTATAACCTGTAGCTGACATGCAGCTGGAACAGAAGACCGCAAACTAACCGTGGTTGTGTCTTCTCAGCCTGGTCACTCCAAACCCGTGCTTGCTGAAGTGGCTCTGATGCTCCGGCTGGGAGAAGCTCCCTCGTGCCCCAACATCATGGAGCTACACCAGTGGCTGGAGGATGAGAGCAGCTTCACTCTCATTATGGAGTACCCTGAACCCTGCAGGACCTTGGAGGATTACATCTTGTTCTCCGGCCCCGTCAGTGAAGCACAAGCACGCTTGTTCATGCTTCAGGTGCTTCAAGCGGTCAAACACTGCCATGAGCGTGGAGTTTATCATGGTGATATCCGCTCGAGGAACATCCTGGTGACTCTCCACAGTCTGGAGCTCAAGCTCATCGACTTCCGCTGCGCTCGTCTGATCAGCAGCGAGGGCTTTAACAGCAGCCAATACCAAGGTGAGTCTCGCTGATGATCACGTGATGTTGTGCTGTTGATGGTGAAGCGTACAGAAGCACTGAAGCTGTGTGTGTCTCTCACAGGATCAGACGCATACACCCCTCCTGAGGTCCTCGGTCAGTCCATATTCCACGCCGCAGCAGCAGACGTCTGGGCGCTGGCCGTTCTGCTCTTTGAGATCATTCACAGATATCTGCCCTTCGAAAGCTTTGATGCCATTCAGCACGGCTACGTCAGGGTGGATCCCACCTTATCCACAGGTGAACACACAAACAGCTCCACATTATGCTGATGTTTACTGTTCATGTTTGATGTGTGGAGACTAACCGTGCTCTCTCTGAACTCTTCCCAGCGTGCCATGACCTGATCTTCCACTGCTTGAGCCGTAATCCAGCTCACCGGCTGACGCTGCGGCAGCTGGAAGAGCACCGCTGGATGAAGGCCTAGACTGGAAGAAGGCAGGGATCCCAGTGTGCATCAGACAGAGCAGAGCTGAGGAGTTTAGTGAGTGACCAGCGGCGTCTCGAGAAGTCTCAGGAAATAATGCAGCGAGACTCTGGAGCTGCAGGTTAAATGACGACTGTGTTCACAAGCAGCTCAGAGCATCGGCAGACAGCAAAGCAGCGTTTGTGTTCACGTGCTCGTATTCTTAACCTGCGAACACCTGCAGCTCCGTCACTAAACGCTCTCAAAAACAGAAGAAAACCACTCAACACAAAGAATGACAAAAATATAATATTTTAGAACGCTGCTGTCTGTAGAAATGAGAAAGGATCATAAGAAATTTTTAAATGAGAAATTCGTAAATGCATGTAAAAATAATCACTTAATTAGTGCTTCACAAATTATTAATGTAAGGAATGTAAAAAAACAACAACTACTTATACAATATTATAGAAAGTAAAAGTAATGTTACCAATAAAGCATCAATTAGTGACTAATGTAAAAAAAATGTGAAACGATATTCTATTTCTTATATTTCAGAAAGTAAATGCAATTTTTTAAAAATAATATTTCCGAAAGTAAATGCTATTTTTTTTATACTATTTTAGAAAGTAAATGTAGTCACTAATTGGTGGCTTATTAGTGACATTAACGTAAGAAATGTAAAAAAAAAAAAAAAAAAAGCAATTTTTTAATATTTCCGAAAGTAAATTATATTTTTGTATATTTTAGAAAGTGAATGTACTCACTAATTGGTGGCTTATTAGTGACATTTAATGTAAGAAATGCAAAAAAAGCTATTTTAATATTTCAGAAAGTAAATGCTATTTTTTAACTAATATTTTCGAAAGTAAAAGAGTTTTTTGTGTAATATTTTAGAAAGTAAATGTAGTCACTAATTGGTGGCTTATTAGTGACATTTAATGTAAGAAATGCAAAAAAGCTATTTTTAATATTTCAGAAAGTAAATGCTATTTTTAAACTAATATTTTTAGAAAGTAAATTATATTTTTGTATAATATTTTAGAAAGTAAATTCTGTTAAATTGGTGGCTTATTAGTGACAATGTAAGAAATATAAAAACGTTAAAAATAATACTTCTGAATGTTGCTAATAACTAATAATTTATTAATTTATTAATGTAGTAACTAATAATTTAGTAATCTATAATAAATGTATTTAAAAAAATGATGAGTCTGAGCACCTGTGATGAGTCTGAGTCTTTCTCATTGCTTTACACAAGACCTGGAAGAAGTAAGACAGTATTTCATAACACAATTTCTATGAATCACACAATGAAGTGCGTCCACCTGAACGGACACGAGGTTTGTGGGTGTAGGAAGTGGTTAACAGGGATTAATTGTAGAATGAGTTAATGCAACTGAAAGAGATTCACTCAAAAAGAACTTTCTGTCAACATAGAAGATATAGTGAGAAAAGTCTCAGATATAATGGAAGCCATTCTTCTAAAGATCTCGTCCTGTGTTCAGGAAAGACCTTGAGACGCAGAGGCGTGTCCTGAAGCAGACTGACACATTCACACAGTTTGCTTTCAGAGTTTACGGAGTGTGCAGGTCACTCATCAACAGCTCTGGTCAGATCCAGCTTCATCATGTTTGTTCCTCCTCTCAGTCCTGACAGTGTGCTTTGGGTACTTTGGGTACGTTACTCTCTCCGTCCCGCTTCGTCTGGCTGGCGGCGTCTTTAGGGAGGAACGTCTGTGTGCTGTTGTGTCGTCTCATGTGACTCGAGTGCGTCTGCATCGAGCGTGTGACTTTATTCCGCAGATTGGCCTGAGACAGAGAGTTTCTTACAGGGTTAAATTCTCTAATGCATGTCTGGACTGAGATCATGTTTGTGAACGCTTCTCACCAGTTTAATAGCTTTTCTTATATTTATTAATATCTTTTAATATATTTATTAAAAGATTATTAATAGAATAATCTTTATCAGGAGGCAACCCTTTAATAATAATAATAATAATAATAATAATAATAATAAAACAAGGAAGGAATAATGTGCCGTTGAATTACAGAAAAACCCAAGGTAACATCACTAAGTGTTTGTTTGGCAAACTTGGCTATTCTGTGTCTGGTTTCTATGAGACAAGTTAAGTTACAATAAGTTCAATAAAACATCTGGAGTTTTTAGATATTTCTACAGGCAGAGGAGAATAGCCAAAAATAAATAAATAAATAAAACAACTTTAACCATTTATAAAACCATACACAATGGATTGTGCACATGTAGCTGGGGCTGGTGCCATCTAGTGGTCGCTGATTTTCTTACAACAGCTGGCAAAAATGATGGAATCACCACACTTAGATGTTGTTTACCCAAATTATTTACTTCATAACAAATAAACGAATCACAGATATCACACAAAACTATTTTTGTTTAATAATTCAACATGAAAATTTGTTTTCCATATCAAGTAGAGGAAAAAAATATGGAATCATCTACCAAAACACACAATTAGTACTTTGTTGCTCCTCCTCTTGCTTTTATGGCGGCCTGAATTCTTTGGGGCATGGACTTCACTAATGAAAAACAATATTCTGCTTCCAACTTTGTCGAATAGCGGTTGACAGATCAGCTTTGCAAGATGGAGCCTTGTCATGGACCAATTTTTTCAATTTCCACCATAAATGTTCAATCGGATTGAGATCCGGACTGTTTGCTGGCCATGTCATTGAGTTGATATGCCTTTCCTGAAGAAAAGCTCTCTGCTCTGTGGCAAGATGCATTATCATCCTGAAAACTTCTTTTCTATTGATGGAATGAGAAAAGTGTCCAAAATTTCAATGTTTTGACTGTTGAGGTAAGGATTGCCATTTCCCCTGGTCCTTTAACTGACATGCAACCCCATATCATAAATGAGTTGGGAAATTTGGTTGTTTTCTTCATGCAGTCGTCTTTATGCATTTCATTAGAGCGGCACCATACAAAAGTTCCAGCATCATGTCCAATGCAGATTCATGATTCATCCAATCATCCACACTCCATGACTGCTTCTCTTCAGCCCACTGTACCTTGTTTTCTTCTCTTTAGGTGTTAATGCTGGTTTTCGTTTGGCTTTTCTATCTTTAAATCCCATTTCATTCAGCCGGTTTCTTACAGTTCTGTCACACATATTGGCTCCTGTTTCCGCCCGTTTGTTTTTAATTTGTTTCGTTGTGCATTTTCTATCCTGACGCTTTGAGGTCTTCCTTGGTCTGCCTGTATGTTTTCCTTTTGTAACCTTTCCATTTTGTATATACTTGCACCAAATTTTAGAAACAGCTGACTGGGAACGTCCAACTTCTTTTGCCACACTCCGTGATGGATTTCCTTCTTGAAGGAGTTTTATAATCCTTTCCATTGTTTCAACAGACGGCTCTCTTGTTGGGGCCAAGTCCAACAGCTCGTTAAGGTCTGGAAGCACTCTCGTTTAAAGGGGTCATATGATGCGATTTCAAGTTTTCCTTTCTCTTTGGAGTGTTACAAGCTGATTGTGCATAGATAAGATCCCTGAAGTTGCAAAGACTAAAGTCTCAAAACCAAAGAGATATTCTTTATCAAAGTTAAGACTCTGCCACGCCCCCCTAAAACGGCTCGTTCTAACACGCCCCCACATATCTACCTCACTATGTGGGAATATTAGCATAATGCCGCCCAAATGTACACGCAAAGAAAGAAGGCGTGGTTTCAGTAACCGCAGTTAGTGTTGAAGCAGCATGTCAGAGAGACGCTGTGTGTTTCTAGCCAAAGCAAAAGCACTTTATTTGGCCTTCCGAAAGCAGATGCATTTAGGAATCTTTAAGATCGCTGACTAATTAGCTTTTTAGATATGTGCCGGTATTTATTTCAGAAATGCAAATTACAAGCTGATTCCTTTTTTTTTTTTTTTTTTCTTCCCTCTACTTGATATGGAAAACAGTTTTCCATTAATTAAAATGTTTTAATTTAATTTGTTTGAGGTATGTTTGACATAAACAGTGTTGAATTATCAAGCAAAAATTGTTGTCATATCCGTGATTTGTTTATTTGTTATAAAGTCAAAACTTTGGGTGAACATCTAAGTGTGGTGATTCCATAATATTTGCCAGGGGTTGTAGGCTCAGCTGCGATGAGATTGATCCACAAATGCACATCTTCCTTGTCACATGCGCAAATTCTGATACACTAACATCTGCATTCAAAACCATGTTTCTATTTGTAAAAAATGGCTGCATGTTCATGTAACTCTGAATTTGACTGACACAAGTTGACAGGCATTTGGTTGTGGATAGTGAGATACAGTTGCAACAATTATCAAGTTCATGGATAATTTTGCATGCATTTGTAAGTAAATATGAGACAAATTTCATCCCATAGAATGACAAGTTGTTTTTCCTCATCAGAATTGTGAGATATAATCTCGGAATTGCGAAAATAGTCGGAATTTTCAAAAAATAAACTAATTTACCTTTTTTTTTTTTTATTCGTTTATTCCATGGCTTCCATAGACTGCTACTTGAAAACTGTCATTTTCTGTCACCAGATAGGCTCCACCCACAAAAACATCATCACTGTTTGCACCAAATTGTTCTATTACAAATGGGTCTTTGCCATACTGAGATGCTTTGGCTTCACTTTTCCATAGTGGAAGGAAGTGGAGATGCATGGTCCATCTTTTTTTACAGTCTATGGTTTTGCTAGGTATTTGAGTAAATTAAAACACAATACTTGCATTTAAATGTGAATTCCTCGGCTGCCACAGAACTCTCACCCGCCATTTTCTTTGAATATAAATTCCGTCGTCGTCTTGCAATTAATTCTGGGATAGGGTGCGACGTGTTCATTCGATGTACACTTCATTTGTTTAATAAGTGCATGGTGCAGTGGCTGCAAAATGTATTGGCGTATATCTAAATGGTTTGACTAATTAGAATAATTTTTTTCATTAGTGTCTATAGATGATACATGCAAAATTTTATGTGAATCAGTCGAGTGGTTTTTGCCAACTCAAAAAAAAGACTAAAACATACTACAATGTACTAAAGTTGTCCACTAGAGGGAACCACAGGATAAGAAATATGTTGAGATTTCCATTGAGAGATGAAGGATGCAATACTAATGTTGTCCACAAGCGGGAGGCACAAG